CTCGGCTCACTGCAACCTCTGTCTCCTGGGTTCAAGCAATACTCCTGCCTCAGCCTCCCAAGTAGCTGGCACTGTAGGCAGGAACCACCACACCCAAATAATTTTTTTGTATTTTTACTCGAGATGGGGTTTCACCATGTTGGCCAGGCCAGTCTTGAACTCCTGACCTCAAGTGATCCTCCCGCCTCAGCCTCACAAGGTGGTGGGATTACAGGTGTGAGCCACTTGCATAGCCCATTTTTTAAAAACAATTTCAGGCCAGGTGTGGCGGCCCATACTTGTAATCCCAGCACTGTGGGAGGCCTAGGTGGACAGATCACTTGAAGTCAGGAGTTTGAGACCAGCCTGGACAACATGGTGAAACCCCATCTAAAACAGAAACAAAAAAGGTCTGGTGGTGTGAACCTGTGATTCCAGCTACTAGGGGGGCTGACGGGGCAGGGTCACTTGAGCCATGATTGCAACACTGCACCCCAGCCTGGGTGACAGAGTGAGACCCTGTCTCAGAACACACACACACAGACACACACACACACACACAATTTTTCCACCTGTGTAATTTTATTTGATGAAAGTTATATATGGCTGGGCATGATGGCTCACACCTATAATACCAGCACTTTGGTAGGCCGAGGCGGGCAGATCACCTAAGGTCAAGAGATGGAGACCAACATGGCCAACATGGTGAAACTCCATCTCTACTTAAAAAAAAGCAAAAAAAATCAGCCAGGCCTGCTGGTGCACTCCTGTAGTCCCAGCTACCAGGGAGGCTGAGGCAGGAGAGTAGCTGGAGCCCAAGAGGTGGGCGTTGCAGTGAGCTGAGATCTTGCCACTGTACTCCTGCCTGGGCCACAGAGTGAGACTCCATCTCAAAAAAATAAACAAATCGGTCGGGCGTGGTGGCTCACGCCGGTAATCCCAACACTTTGTGAGGCCAAGGCAGGTGGGTCACCTGAGGTCGAGCTTTCAAGACCAGCATGACAAACATGGAGAAAACCTGTCTCTACTAAAAATTCAAAAATTAGCTGGGCATGGTGACATGTGCCTGTAATCCCAGCTACTTGGGAGGCTGAGGGCAGGAGAATGGCTTGAACGAGGGAGGCAGAGGTTGCAGTGAGCCTGGATCACACCGCTGCACTCCTGCCTGGGCAGCAGGAGTGAAACTCCATCGCAAAATAAAATAAAAT